AGCGAAAATGAAAGGACTGCAATATAACGGGCTCTCGAACAGGTTATCCATACGCGTTGATTCGAAACGACACCATGTGTGGTCGGACAACACCCTATTGCCACATTCATATACAAGTTGGCACTAAGCACCAAGCCCAACCAGTGGCCAGGACCAACAACAGCAGAGAAGCCCATCGTCGAGAAATAAATCAGAAAAGTGCCTCAAGCACCGCTCCTAAAAAAAGTTTTTGTCTTAGGGCAAAAAGCGGTCCTATAAAAGACAACCACCCTCCTCTAGTGGCGATAGAGACAAAACAGTTAAGCAGCTACGCGTCCAGGGCCGTAAAATGGGCGATTAGCCGGAGCCTTTTCATCGACGACGAAATGTTCCTCCTGGACGAGCTACAATCCTCAAACTCCGAGGATGCCCGCATGAAGTCTTGAGGAAGTCTGTAAGAATGAAAGGAATATTCACCACAAGCACCCGAATCTCCGAACCTTATCATGGTCTGGACGGGGGTCTCATCTCGCGGTCCCTCACCATCCCTGCCTTTTACAAAAAGAATCAACTTGATACCCCGACCGGCCAACAGGAACAATTTCGTCACCAATCTGTACTGGAGATATAGCCACCGAGAGGGGTGACTTTTCATAGGACCCAGCTTTTGCATAGAACCGAAAAAAAAATTTAAGCAGTGCGCTGTTTGAGGCACTTTTTCTGATTTCACTTCTTCGAACGAATGGCTCTCCTACCCCTTGATTTCAGCGTGTTGGGCCATTCCCTGTGGGCTATGTTAGTGGGCAGACTGCACTATACAATGCATCCACATGGATAGCTGGCCGCCATCGCTGCCAAAAAGTTTCGAACTAGCACACACCCCAGGATGCCATGCGGGCCACAGTAGAGTTGCATTCGAATCAATCGAGAGCCATACTCACAACAACAGGGGAGCCTATCCGATGAATGTCATTCCTTTCGATATTTAAATGTATTGCTAAAATTTTGTAAACCTCTTGAAGATACATCCATTTCGAAAAAAAGTTACAAGTAAAGAGAAGTGTTGTAATTTTCATGTTACACCCTGTATTCGTCCGCACATTTTGCTGTTCAAGTGACTGCGTTGATGCGCAAAGCCGCGCAGTGCAGACATCTACTTCCATGCCCGGCTGAGAGGTGGAACAAAATTCGTCCAGGTCATGTTTGCCTCGATTGAGCTGGGAATGGTGCAGTATGCTACAAGATCATTCTACGACACATAGTCTAGATAAACTCAAATGACGTTTGGAAGCAATGATTTTGTTCGACTGATCAGGTGCAACATGGCCAGAAATTATGTCTACGCAAAAAGAAGTAATCGAGAGGAGCTCCGATCCTCATTCATTCATGCCAGTTTGTTACAGCCAGGTTGTTCTGAGCGCTCGTCACCTGCCCTGGGTTGCTTTTATGCCACAGTAGACGAAACTTCTTGACAGCGAATCTACCGCTGTGAGCCTAATAGAAGCAGAATGTTTTCAAGAGTTCAACACGTGAGACGCAAGCCTCTTTCGGGACATTCACCGACCCTCACTGGAACAACGGGCTCGCCCCATATCAAATCGAAGAAAACCATAAATAAACCAACTGAAACCTCATACGCATCTTCATAATAAAAGCCAGAGCGAGAATCGACTTTTAGAAAACCATGACAATTAGGTATTTGATATAGACAATATTTACAAGGTACCTATGATAAACTATTTTGAAATGGATTCGAGACTACGCACAGCCGGCGCAGGCTAAAATGAGACCTTGGTGGACTGCATATGGTTCAGCTATGGTGTTGTTTTTTAATGTGAGTGCACGAAGCCTACAATACATCGGAAATACCAACCGATACGCGAACGCAATTCGTTTAAAAGTTCGAAACAACTTGAGTCGAAAATGCCATAGCGAGATATCCTAATGGTCCGTTGCTGTATGGTGCCAACCGAGCAAACTGTTTCCACAATACCTTTTGCCTAACCTAAAAACTTTTTGATTATGACAAGACTAAAAAATGCATTCTGCCTAGATCGAGGATTTCAAGAGACAAATGTTAAGTTGAACGTGAGCTTTACGATAAGCTCAAAAACTGAAATATCGCATGAGTTTTGAAATGGTACTGGTGTTCTCGCGAAAAAATCAGGGTGAAGCTGCAATATGAGACCCGAAGTAGCGGTCATTCCGATAAACGCCAAAGACATCAAGCACCGCCTCCACACGGGCAGACGACGAAACACTCCGTTCAGAATGGGGTTCGAGTGGGATCAAAGGTGCCGGAATGAAGAATACACCATGAGAAACAGTACAGAAACCGAGAAAAGGGGCCTCTTCTTTGATCGTTGATTTCGCAGCAACTACATCACCTTCGCTTTGCTGACGGTACGTTCTTATAACACCAAACATCGAGCAGACAGAGCGAACCATTGCTGATTTCAACAGAACGTGTGGCTTAGCACACAGCGAGCCATGGAGAGGGCCATGTGCGGTGTAACGCTCCGAGACCGCATACCCAATGACACCATCGCGCTCGTACGATGGTGAAGGACGTCGTCGATGCCATCTATAATTCCAAGCGGAGGTGGGCCGGTCATGTGGCTAGACTTACCGATGATCGCTGGACGAAGAGAGTGACTGACTGGTACCCAAGGGGAAAACAAGGCCCAGAGGCAGACCCCCCCCGATGGGCAGACCCTCTCGTAAAATTGTACGGCCAGTTGTGGCGCAGAAGAGCCCGAAGCAGAGCGGCCTGGAAGATGTGCGACCTGCGTTTCTGGCGTGCCCGGGACGAATAGCGGTCGAGAAGTAAGAAGTAAGTAAGAAGTGTGGTTAGGTTAGCAAGATTGAAGCCTTCCTAGCGTACTGTATTTAGACCTTAGATTCTGCAGATGCGGCATGAGCAAAGGGGCGGTCAGCATTACGCAGCTTGCTGTCGACAATCTTGAGGACGACGGTACGCGCAATCGTGGAGGCTCCGTACTCTTCCAGCGATCCAAGACCAGGGACAGCTCTACATTAACTGAAGAGCTGAAGGTCAGGAAAGGTGGCGTCTGACCCATCAAACGATTCTGTTGTGCCATGATAACCGTAGGGCCAGAACGGCTGCCAACTGGATGTCCTCAAGGAATAATACCAACGTCAAAGGCCGCCGGCCTGATGGTCAGCGACTTCACAAAAGCTACTAAAGGCATGGAACCTTTCGTATCTCTCAGATGTCCGCCAGACTCGGCAATCGCTTTGCCACCGCGAGGCAGAAGATCGCTCGGCAATCGAGCGATTGATGAGCGATTGTCATCGCTCGGTACAATCGCCGAGTCTGACGGACATCTCGAACGAGGGAATCCACTGCTGTGCATTGGCACATCACAGGTCGCATAAGAATGGCTTCTCTTGAGAATCGATAGGAAATGGAATGATAATGATCATGCGACGTGGTCGTGAACGACTCACCGTTTGATCACATCATCACCGACGATAGTCTTCGTGCAGAATACCTTGTAGTCCTCCAAAAATTGACAGGCCTTCTCTTCTAGAGCATCGGAATGATCTTGTAGAGTTGCGAGTGAACGCATAACTGGAAAAATAACTCATAGGACGACTTTCATCAAATGAGGTCTCCTTACCATTGTCTACTATGGTCTCTCCCATATCTCCGGTAGCCCACTTCACTGCTAAACGCATCACAAGCCTAACTTCTTCATTTGCAACTCCGTCGTGCTTCTGAACGAGAGTCGGAGACGTGATAAATGAACTTTCTTTGTGCTCCGTACAAACAATCGAAGTGAGAGTTAGGTCAGACTTCACTTGAAGAATTCCCACAAAGGCGTAAAAACCGTAAAATTTCAAAAAAAAATCAAGGAAAAAGAAAAAAAAGAGAAAGGAAAGGAAACGTGGAAATGTTTACGAGAACTCTCATGTTGGGTCACATTTCAGTAATAATCTATCAACGGGAAAGCGAGTCCTAATGAGGGTTTCTGAAAGAAGGGCAGTTTCCGGTTATGGTAGGCGTGATTGTGGAAGGAGTCGCTCTCGAGAGGGAGGTAGTGGCGGAGTTTGAAGGTTTATGTTACTGGGGAAGAGAGGGGCGTTTTTGATGTTTTTTTTTTGGATAAATTGCAAGGTTTCCACGAAGAAAGCGTGAAATAGGCAAAATTTGAGTATTTCCCGCTTCTTTCCTCCAATTTGAACCCTATCCTTCTCTACAGTTTTGGAAGTAAAAAGTGGGTGGAGTCGATTGGTCCCACAATTACATACTGTAGAGACAGTCAATGGTGAGGATGATATGAGGGTTAGTGCAGGGGGGTACGTGTTTGTGAGACCCGCTTCAGTGCGGTAGTCTAGGAGGTCGTGCCGAGACTCCCTGAGGAAAGGATCGAAAAATTTTGAAATTTATCCTTCAACGTCATGATTGACCCTGCTCTTACGCTCAGTTGCTAATACGATGTAACCCAAGAAAGAAAAGTAACATAAACGTTGCACTCACCTTGCATGAAGAGCACTCATTTTTATGTAATGGCCAGTCCTTCTTCTGGCAATCTGCTGAGCAGTAGTAGAACATTCGACAACCTTTGCATTTTTTCAAGTCCTCCCCAGATTTGAGGCACCCGTGGCAATACGAATGTAACTGAAAATGGTCGAGTAAAAGAAAAATGTGATTTCAAAGCCAACATGTGATTCAAAACGCACATGCTTCACGGCGAGAGCATAGCAAATAGGTTCTTCTTCGAAAAGTGCTTTATTACAAGGCATCACTGAAAGGGGTTTTCAAAATAGACAATTGACCAGAGTTGCAAGAAAGGTCCCTAGCAGATATGCGGATACTCTTCTACAATTACTAATAATTAGAAGTAACTAGGGTTTCCAATTTTTTATGCAATGGAAACGATAACGTCAAAATATGAAAGAACGATCACGCTCAGTATAACAACAACAAGAACAGCACGAATCTCACAACAGCTAAACAAAAAATCATAACAAAATTTAGCAGTTTCTATACACTTTCAACGTTTCTTATACAAACAAGGTTTCAATTTCAGCCCGAAAGGCCTTTTGTTCTGAACTTTGCCAGTTTTTCTGAACTCCAACATTATGAAGTAGTCGTTTAACTGTTTCTGAAACATGGTCTTCGATTCCAGTCTATCAGAAATAATCGAAATCAAAGTTTCATAAAGAGCACGGGGTGAAGAAAGAACTCGCCTTTTCGGTGAGTTCAAAACCCAACTTGCAGAGAGCATCACAAAACAATTTCACATTAACAAAGCGGCTAACAACTTCTGCAATTTTCAGTATGCCTCCTGAAATGCTCATATTATCAAATGCTCAGAAAGAAACAAACACTTTCTGATTATTCGGAGAAGAGAAAATAATTTTCGCGGGGAAAAACTCCACACAAATTTTTTCATTGTCTTCAAAGCTTGGAAACAGACTGCATGAGAACAAGTGTAACTCTCTTTCTCTCTGTTGTCCAACAAGGTCTTAGCTTACTTCCTTGCTGCAACAGCAGCGTCATGACAGAAGATTTCTTGTCGAAACAAAGCTATACAACGAACAATTCGACATAGCCGAAGCGATAAGGCCCTAGGATGCAGCATTGGTCCCGCCCATATGACCACGCACTGCCTGCAGAAATCGTTATGCCTTCGCTTCGCCGTTACGAAACTTAGGTTTACTTTCGTCCTAGTTGTTTTTATTTTTCATTTTTGCATTACTAGCGTTACACTTCACCACTCTTCACTCACACACAAGTTTAATCCCGGACGTTGCCTTTGAAACCAGAAAAGTAGCACTGCTTTACACTTGATCAAAAATACTGGATCCAACCACGTCCGCATGAGCAAATTGTCCATCCCTACGTAATCGGCCCATTAGTAAAAAAATCGTCTATTAAAATTAAAAGGCCAACTGGACGCGGGTCAACCTCCCTCCCCATAAAAAATACCGAATCCCATTGAATGGCACTGCAATCGAGCATGTATAGCGCAAACCGAAAAGGAGTTAATGAGTCTAATTGTTTTCGATTTTACCGCTACTCATTCAGTACTGCATAATACTACAGGTATTGAACATTTGACTCACCCTAGCTTCAGTACCCTCCTAGTTTCCTTGATATAATCGATTAGATTCGTTCCCATGAGAGATAGGCAAAACACGACAATGTCCGCTGATAAATCGTCCATCGGTAAATGTGCCATGTCACATGCTGTCACATAATCGTTGACAGCAACAAGATCGAAGGAGTGCACCTGAAGGAATAAAGAATTACGTTGAAGGTATGAATACTCCCATAGTTCACAAAGAACACGATGATTGCACAACAGCGCGAAACATCATAAAAAAATTAGCCCAAGCTTCTATACCATTCACAAATAAAGACGAAAATCATATTCCACACACACACAATAGCAAAACTCCAGAAACCGGGTGCGCACGCTAAAGGTTTGTGGTTCTGGAGAGGAACTACATATAACTATTACCTTGAGGTGCTGTTACGTGAACACATGTTTAGATTTCAAAAGAATTTAATGCTGAAAGAAACTAGCAGGTGGAAGCACTTCCAAGAACGCGCTGTACGCTGGAGCATCTTGCTATGGCACTTCTGCATCACGAATGAAACGAATGTTGCAATTCAAAACATAACACTTCATGTAGGTAAAATGCAATTACCATTTTACCAAAAAGGGGCAACTCTTGTGCTTTATCATATTTCATGCTCAACAATAGCAAACCTAAGGAACCGTGCTCACGCTTGTGTAGGTATTATAACACAGTTTTCATTTAACCAAAAAAAGGCAAACCTTATGTATTTCACCAACGGTAGCCGCTATTTTCGCTTCCCCGCATCCCATATCGAACACAACAGATCCACTTGGTTTGGCCTTCAGCCACCGTATTATGGAAGAGAGAGGATGGTTCGGCCATTTTTTCACCTTAAAACGATTATTAAAAACTACGAAGTACACAGACGTACAAGCATATATTGTAGCTGAAGACTTCTAATTCAGAGCAGCAAGCATTGAAACTAGGCACAAGTGCTCACCTGCTCAGCAAATCCATTGTGATAACACCGGAAAGCATCGGGATCTTCTTTAAAGTATTCCCAAGCTTCCGAACCAGTCATTGTATACAGCTGTTCATTCAAGAACCTTAACAACCATGAACAGTCTCACTGCAGCACTTCCAACCGCACAACTCAATCGGAAGCTTGAAACATTGTCATTATATATGTGGTCCTGTTGTCCTGAATCCGATAACAGAAATCCTTAAGAGATAAGACCGACGTCCATAGTGCGGCGAACGGACGCAATCGCGGATGGAGCGATCGCGATCGCTCCATCGCTTGTCCGTCGCTTGCCTCGCTCTCGGTCGAGCGATTGGCACGCGATTGCGGCAATCGCTTGCGCAAGTGCACAAGCGACGGGCGATTGGCCCCGCCCCCAGTCGATGCAGTCGGCTGCGGTATCGATCGAGCAGAGCCATCGGCCGTCGCTTGTGCACTTTGCAAGCGATTGCGCAATCGCTTGCCAATCGCTCGACCGAGAGCGATTGGCAAGCGACGGACAAGCGATGGAGCGATCGCGATCGCTCCATCGCTTGGTCCGTCGCCGACTATGACGTCGGTCTAAAGGCCGTAAACCCTATCTACTTGCATGAGCTCTAGGTAGATAGCCGCGCCTACGGTGGCGTAGTATACATCGAAAAAAAAAGCGATGCCGAGAGGAAGGTTCCTAATTCAGTTCAAAATACATTCGATCAAAAGGGGGAAAAAGGAGAAAGTTGGACATAAGATGAAGGAAACCCACACGCAATGACTGGGCGGTTTGGAAATGGTCCCTGCTCAACAAAATATTCATGCCTCACTTCAGAGGTAACAGCAAAGAGCGAAAACAATGATAGAAATGAGAGATAATAGGCGAAAACCCGCCCACAACGGGCGAAGCGGTCATCGGCTAAATTCTGTCACTGCGAGCTTCATAGCCAGCTTCCCAAACGCCCTCAAGGCCTGGAAAAAAATAGGGGGCCTTAAGAAGGGGAGGCAAATCTCAGGTGGGGCGGAGCAAATACACCGAGTGAAAATTGTGTGAGGAACTTGGCTCCTGGCGACTAGTGCAAGTAGGCCTCTTCAAATGATCATGGCAAGCACGAAATGCACCGAGACGAACGAGTCTAAAACTAAGAAATGGTGCTGCCTACATCCCTACGCCGAGTTCCCTTGTAACGAACGCGTTAGTGTGAGAGTAATAACGGGATAATCAACAATCGGGTGCAAAAGGGGCTTTCACGTTTTTATTCGGCAGAAGAGCATTGAAGCAAAACTAGGAATCTTCCGTTATGTCAACGACTGAAGAATGGATTTACAGTGGAGAGAGCACTGTGTTTCCAGACAGCCATCGCTGGAAAACTTGAATGTATCCTTTCCATTACTAATCAAAATTCCCATTCCTCCTTTTGTGCTTTCAAGCTCGCCCTCCAAATGCGCGATGCATTAAAATCCATTTTTATACTTTATTGAAGCCTCTCCAAGATTGTAGCACCTAACAAGGCTGACGTATCGACTTTCCTCGCCTTCCTCTCTTTGACTTTGAGTACACCTGAAGAGGGCGAAGAAAGCCGAAACGTCAGCCTTGTTAAGTGCTACAATCTCGGAGGGGCTTCAATAAAGTATAAGTCGCACTCTCGTGTAAATGCATACCTGAAACGACCGGCCTCCAGTTTCTCAAGGCTCTCCTGAGTGGTAGACATCTTGTTTGGGGACTTCTCCTCCGACTTCTCATCGTTGTCTACGAACTTCTTTTTCCGTTTCTTCTTCTTTTTCTTTTTTGCACTAGATTCCACTGTGGGGATTTGAACGATCTGAAGAAAAATAGCTCCTTACACCGTCGTGATCGAAAAAGCTGATTAGAACTTGCCCCATGAGCCTCTTTTAACTTCGCTCGTTCTGCTTTCCTCAGCTTTCTTTACGTGCTTTCTTCACCGCAACTTTGGGGGTTCCCCCCCCCCCCCCCAAGCCAAGGACGTTTGTCTTTAAACGAAAAACCGTGAAATCACTTATTGCCAAATCTTAACATTAGGTCATCTGATTTGAGCTGCATATGCTTGAAGCACGAAAAATGAGGCCCACCTTGCCCATGTTGGTCCTGGAACGTCAAAAAAAAACCGTGGAAACATGGTGACACTCTATGGGGAAGACTTTGCTTTTCTTAGATTCGATTTTATTGTGTAAATAACTTCAAACCCTAGTCTGAAATTATGTTCTGATCTGCAGTATGAATAGAACATCAATGTTTCAAGACCCCAGTTCTGGAAAGGACTTTTACATATTCTCAAAATCCCGAGAGCCCTTCAACGAAATGGGCTTCGTTCCTATTTTCTATGCGCGCTTCCAGAATATGTTCGACATATGAAATCTTTCCAAAAATGCGCTAAATGTACTACACGATCCATTGGAAGGGGAAATATTACCTTTATGGGTTTTGCAACACCGAGTGGAACAGTGACATCCGGCTGGACCTCTGACTTTTCAAAGACTGTTTCTTCACCATTGCAGCCTATTACAAATCTATTAAGTTGCTTAGGTGGTTAGTGTTTTCCATCAATAGAAAAGACCAATATATAATACTATGCCGAACGTAGCATATTAGCATGTCCAGGCCAGATAACAATAAAATTTCATTGAATTAACAAGACAACAAATCGAGCAACATCCATGCTAAACAGATAACAAACCACACGGTAACAATATGGACAAACGTTTCATATATGGCGCGAACAGAGTCGCGTAGATATTTTTCATGAGAGCCAATATCGGAAAACATCATAACAAAACAATTATCTACGAGTTCTTTTTTATCCATATCTTGATGTTCAAGTATGAGAAACTGTAGGATATACAGAGCCATTACATTATTCGGTCCGTTTTCCCCATCTTCCGCTTTCCGCTGAACAAATGCTTGGGTTTCAAGTCGTATACATGTCTATCAGCCTCTCCTTTCCTAGCCTCACGCTTCAAGTGCTGCAGTGCCTTCGCGCGGAGTTTATTCTTTGCTGTCATCACTTGTCATCTCTTCTGTAAACGTGAAGTGTTCATAATACTATAGCCATCAGTTCGAACTGAATAAATGAACACTACTTACAGCCTTGTCAGGGATACCCAGTTCATCTCTTGGCGGTGGTCGTGATGCACTCAAGCTTGGTGATCGCCCAACCTTTATCTTTTTACCCAGCTGAGGCTTCTGAGCCTGTCCTTGCAGATTTTTCATACGTTTTGTGTCAACCTAAAAAGAGATGTTGCATAAACTAGAAGAAAATTCACGCAGAAAAATCCAATTTTGCTAACATACCTGAACACCGAGCTCTTCCATCTGCTCTTCCAAACGACTCATTGATCTCTCACGTTTGCGCACATTCAACCTCGACACATGGTTGCCCTAAAACGCGACGATTGCGAAGAAACAACAAATGGAAATATTTAACAGTACCGCTTTCTTCTTGTTTATCTGGTTTTCCAGTGTGAGCAACTTCTCCTTTTCTCGAATCTGCCTGGCCAGCTCCAGCTTCTCCTTAGTCTCCTCGTCATCGCTATCCAAATCTGGATCATACTCGCCCGCCTTTTCGCGTAGCTCTTCCTCAGCAAGCAGATCGGCAAGTTTCTGCATAAGAAATATTACCATGCATTCCAGTTGACAATGCAACGAAGAAGACACCTTTTGAATTTCGACATCTACGAAATCTGCCAAGTTATGACCTTCCCAAATCTCTGGAATAACGTCGTATTTCTCCTCCGGATTCTTCAACATGTAATGCTTCTTTAGGTCCAGGATATAATCGTCTTCTAGTTCCAACTCCAACTCGCGCTCCAGTCTTCTGGTATCTAGAATTCAAATAAAGGCATTATGCCATCGAAAAGAATGAGAACACATTAACTGTGCATACTTTCATCCCTTTCTATGGGTTCATCGGTCTGCATGCGCTGTTTGCGCTGCTTGACAGGTTCAGGAATGTATGGAGCACGAACCTGAAACACCATACGAATAGCGTACAGATCGATGAATGTGGAAACTATTAAGCATAAAATTTGTTTATGTTCACTAATGTGACTTCTGTGTCTTCGTTTGGGTTGCGAGTGTTGACGACATTTTTTTGCTATCCAATCGACATCAGATAGATAGACATCGGATTTCAGAGAGATCATTTAGAGGCATCCCCAGTTGCTTTACGTGGTTAAAGAGCACAGTATGAGCACCCTTTTTACTGTGCGTCTTCACGGAGCCTTAATAGTAAAAGTCTTCTCAGCACTTCTCTTCGTCGGTTTTCTAATCTATGCTATCATTATTTATGTCAGCGCGAAGAAATAACGTGTTGTGACCTGCCTTATCTGCTTCCCAAGGATAGGGATCCCTAACTCATGAATAGGGGTAGAATATGGCGCTAACTAACAACTAGCAAGGCGACTACAAAGATGAGTAGAAGGCCTTTCACAAAAGCTGAATAAATGAAAAAAATGTGTTGTTTTTTAACTGAAAAAAATGTTTTGAAAATGTTTTCTGACTCGCCCTAGAAAGTAGTAAACAACGCACCAGAGAAGACTTCTGACCTTCTGCCTAACAGATTCTAACGCTTCCAAGTCTGTGACTTCAAACAAATAAGTCGCTAATGCTAATGGGAGAAGTTCCAATTCCCATGAAGCTCTAAGACGAGACTTAGGTAAATCGATAAGCCTGGACGGCTGGTTTACAAATCTGGAGATCAAAACTGCTATGTGAACCTGTTTATGCATTTATGACTGGTCAAAGTTGGTCGGGAATGCTACTTCGGTATAATGGTACTACGGTAAAAACCCTCCGAAGCTACCGATACCGATAACAAATATGACATCTACTCTTGGCTTAGCGCCATCTCGCATCAATTTGGAAGGCACCACCTCAAAAGTAATTAATTTGTCATCACGGGGAGCCCATCCTTGGACCAATTTGGTCCTTCACAACTTCTTCGGCAGATCTATGTAGTACTTGACCTTCATATTCGTAATTGATATGCCAAACTCCCCCGATCTTGCTTAGGTCTCATTTCAGTGTTACATGGGAAGTTGAAAACCTTTCGTAGTTTTCCCAATTTTAACAAAAAGGAGATGTTTTGGTGGTGTAGATGCCTTGCCACCACACGCCCCGTATCTTCCGATAACGCCCACTAAGAGTTTTTATAGAATAGGCAACTGCCTTCAGCTTTTGAAAAATGATTGCGTAATATAGCTGCAAAAGTGAGAAAGAGCATAATGATTCAAATGAAAATTCTGAGATAATAAAAATTCTGTCATCGCAAGCAGAATTTCATACTGCTGAAAATGTAACGAAATTCTAACTGTGTGAAATTCTCTCACCTTGTCATCTCTAGGTGTCGGATAGGCAACGAAAATGCGATTCAAGACAGTGTCTTCAACTGATGCTTTCTTTGACTGCAATTTCGTTTCCACTCTCTGAGCCAGCAATGCATCGCATGCCTTAAAGTTAGAAAAATAATGTCTGAATTCTAAATAATGGACTCCAGAAAGTAAATGCAGGAGAAGCAGTTCACCTTATCTCGCAGACTGATGACTCCTTCCTGAGTAACAGTTGACATTTCCACAACTGGCACTCCTTCCTTTTCAAGTTTTTCTAGAAGCGCTGCTTTCTCTGATGGAATGTCTGCTCTACGCACTATATCTACCTGAAAATGAGGTAAAATATATTACCCAAAATTTTTATCGCAAACGCTGCAGATTTATCATAAGCAGACATTTGAGAATTCGTCCACTCACTTTGTTCAGACCAACCAGCACAGGTTTATTGGCGAAAAGTGGTCGAATCGACTCGAAGAGATGAACCTAAATAGCGACTATTGCAACGTAACAGCAAACTACTTTTCAAAATGGAGGAGATTCAAATAAGTTAGAATATGAAATGATTTTGTACTTCATCCATTCTGCAAAAGAGAAAAATGTGTAAAGACGTCATCGCAGCACTCAACGACTCGTTAATTGAAATAGAAAAAATGCGGAAGATATATACATTGGTTTGAGACTACATCATTATCCAGTACATATAAAGCAGCATACCTGTTCTTCTATGGTTCTGTCGCACTGCTCCGAAATATCCATAACAAAAAGAATAGCAGCTTTAAGATGAGCGAGAGCCGTGACTGCTTGCATTTCAATTGTGTTCCTCTCTTCGAGGGCTTGATCCAGTATACCGGGAGTATCGATTACCTTTACGAAAAAAATTGTAAAGATGCGAAGTTGTTGTGAATGGGTGCTGATAGAAGCCATGCACATGCACTTCTATAGTAACCTACTTGCCACCGCAGGAACTTGTAGTCAAGATGTCCGACGTAAAGTGCCTTCGTAGTGAAAGCATATGGTTGAACTTCAACGTCTGCTCGTGTAACTTTATTGATGAAGGACGATTTACCCACATTTGGAAAACCACATAGAATTAACGTCCTGAACATGCACTATGTTCTGATATCCGTTTTCGAAAAGTAAGTAGTACCACGGAGCTTACCTTGTCGCGGGATCGATGGAGGGTAAACGAGAGAGATGCTGTCGAACCTGCTCGAGATAATCAAAACTCGACTTCTGTCGCTTTAATAACTTCACCATTCTACCCAGAGCTGCTCTCTTTAGCATTTTACACCGATAGAGAGAATCACCATATTTCATTAAACGGACATACTCGCGTGCAATACTGAAAGCTTCAAATAAATTCTTCTGGTATCGATAAAAGGTCAATGAAGAAATGAGCGGCACTTACCCGTCAATCAAGTGCCTGGCAGTGTTCATTTGTCCAAGAGCAATTTTGTAATGATCTCTATCATAAAGTATATTCATCAGGTCAGAATAAAAAGGGTGAACTTCCTGAATGAAAAAGAATAAAACAAAACCGTGCATTCTACTTAACAGGATTTTCATGCTTCCTGGTGTAATAAATCTCATTTTGAGTGGAAGATTCGAACGTTTACCAAATACAGTTCAATAAAAGCAATTTGAGAGGAACTAGAACAAGGAATATCGCATAGCTTACAAAGAGGAAATCTAGAGAAAAGAGCTAGTATACTCCCGGCCTCTTACTCTCTTATCCAGCTTACAAAAGCTGAAACACTACTGAAAGAGAAGTGTTCGCGTTCTCGAAAAACGCAGTCATGCGGGCGATTGTGTAGAAAACCGGCTAGACATGCTCTACTAAAGCGCTGGCTCGAATGTGATCCATTAACACTTTGACAACACCGCGGGACACATGCGTCCCGCACTCTCACACGGGAGAGACTT